TCCAACCATGTACAGCGCATTTCAATATACAATTAAGTACAGGAAAAGTCTAAATAATTGAAAGCACCAGGCTGCATCACCATCAGATTTCCTGCTTCAAACCCCACAATAAATAATTCCAAGACTTCTACACACCATTTGTCCTTAAAATTCTAGCCGACAAGGATCAAACTACGCAAGAGTGATAGTGAAGAATATCTACTTTTTTTTCAATCAAATGAGGTTTATTCAATAGGATCATGATAAAAAAATGAAACCGAACAATTAAAGAGGATATTACAGTAATTATATTTGGAATGAACCATAATCAGCATATAATTGTGACTTGCAAAATGATCCTCCAACAGTAAATTAAATATAAAAAAATGACAACCTCAATAGACGCCATTCTTCAGTGAGGTTTTACTTGTATTGTTCGACCAAAATAAATAAATAAATAAATAGACAAACAAACAAGAAAACCCCCTTGAAGACCAACTTCAAGCAAAGCCGCTTCAGCTTTTACCAAAAAAGTTTTTCTATTCTGATGTTCATTTCAAGCTATTTTTAAGAAACTTTTTCTTGAAACATCATGTGAAAACAAGAAAAGTCGTGTCTGTGTTCTTAGCTTGGAAATGAAATGTTAATGAGATGAGATGAGTTGTCACCATCTTATTGGATGATGTGAGTGATTTGAAATGATGAGATGAGTTGAGTGATGTTGTGGATGAAAATAATATTTTATTAGATGTAGTGGATGAGTTGTTGGATGAAAATAGTATTTTATTAGATGTGGTGGATGTGGTGGATGAGTTGTTGGATGAAAATAATATTTTATTAGATGTGGTGGATGAGTTGTTGGATAAAAATAATATTTTATTAGATGTTGTGGGTGGGTTTTATGGATGGAAATGGATAAAATTGTACTTTTTGAGTTTTCTTTGTTTTCATTTCTATTTCTTAGTTTTTTAGGAAATAACCAAACAGGCCCTAAAAATAAAATAAAGGAGAATAAAATATTAGGCGAGATGAGTTGGCTTCTTGGGCATCATCCAAACTATTTCTTATAAATATGGATTTCCAAATTTTAGACACCGACCAAATAAGTGAAATTGAGATTTCTGTTTTTTTAATCATGATTATGGGAGAACTAAACAACAACAAAAAAAACCTTTTCTAAGAAACTCGCATAAAACAACGAAAAGGACTAATAAATTGGAATTCCCATAGAAACTAAACAGAGCCATGTGGTAGTATAGTCAATCAAAAGCATGTATCGATTGAAATGAAAATGACAGTGAAAAGGAAATAACAACAGATAAGGAAAGTTCTTTCCCTTTCAATTTACTTTACCTTCAACGTAAAAAGATCAAAAGGGTCAGTTTACCAACTTTTTCACTCCTGTCATCTTTGAAAAGATCAGAAAACAATTTCATTCACAAACAATCTCTCTCTCTCTCTCTCTCTCTCTCTCTGAAACCAAATAACACATAAAATGATACTTTTGATAGAAACAATACAATAAAAAGATCATGGCAATTAATAGATAAACCTCAGTAGAGAAAAGGTAAACTGCCCATCAATATGGACGATCACAGGTTAGAATTGGATTTGCATCCTCTTCATGTAAGTATTATGATTTAGTGTTCATGCTAATTACATATGAAACAAATCATAACCATTCAGCTCAGATATAAGTAAATAAATATATGTAATCCGATGATAAATAGTCTCTTCAGTGTAAAGAAACTATTCGGTGGAGACGGTCAATAGCAATAAATGTGGACTCAAGAGATGTCAATGACTCAAGAGATGCCAATAACGTATGAATAGCGTAATCCAATTATTGACATTCGATGCGAATGCACTGCCACCAACCCAGGTACACTTAAAACTTTTCCTTTCAGGGGTTGTTTGGTTCGCTATTATAAGGGGTGAAAAACTCAGAAAACCCCTCCACGTCAGATTTTTAGCTATTATAAGGGGTGAAAAACTCAGAAAACCCCTCCACGTCAGATTTTTAGCCCTCCACGTCAGCTTTTTTGTTTCCGTCCATTTCTTTGTGCCGCTTTGGTTCGCTCGAATGGAAGAGGGAAAACTCTGCTGAAATCGTCGCCAACTAAGATTTTTTTTCCTCTCCGATTTCCTTTCCCAACCAAGTGAAATTGATAAAAACTCTGCCATGTCAGATTTTTTCCTTCTCTGCTTTGTTTACAAAAGTTTTCCTTTTTTTCTGTGCTAACCAAACACAAGAAAAATAAATACATTGGTTTCCCACCATTTTTTATGTACGAACCAAAGCAAAACAATCTATTTCTTGAAAAAGTTTGGAAAACTCAAAACTTATGTTTCTTTACATGGAATTGCATTTCTCTATATCAAGGAAACGAACCAAACAGCCCCTCATTGTCAAACAAGAACACGTAGAGCTTGCATTAATAGGCCCCACATAAAATTCCCATGCCGCACAAGAAAATAACCTACCGTTTACTTTACCAGTTCAAACATTCCATCTAAAGAAAGGACTCCAATAAATGGTACTGAACGCACCAAAGAGTACAAAGCCTCACAAAGAGGGGACTGAAACAAGACAACCTTTTTAGGGGGGAAAAAAGCCATAAAAGAGAAAGCAAACAACATAAAATCCCACTCCAGTTCCTGGCCTACATCTACCTTCACCACTCCCTTCACCACCCAAGATTGTGCCCATGCAACAAAAAGGAGACACAAAGCATTCCCCACTTCTACCCATCCCCTGCTAAGACCTAACTTATACCACCCCAAAACAAAAAGCACTTTACAAAATGTTGGAAGAACTAGGGGTTCTATATATGTATTTAGTCCCACACCAACTAAATACATGAAACCCATCCTGTTGTGTTTCTGTAAATACATGGAAGTCCACACTTGACATATCATCGACGCCAGTAAAATTGTACTCGTAGACAACAGTGACTGCACAGATAGACATTAGTGATGCGCACGAGACAACAGTGACTGCACAGATAGACATTAGTGATGCGCACGAACACGCATTCGTCATATGTTCATAATATATATAGGACTAAAAAACATAGGTTTTCTCTAACTTCTCCACCACCAACAAAACCAAATTGAACTAGTGTGGATTAGATTCAAAAGGATGGGATCTAAATATTTAGACGATATGCGACTAAAAAACATAGGGGTTTTTTTTTCTCCTTCTTCTTCTTCTTCTAACTTCTCCAACACCAACAGAACCAAACTGAGCTAGTATAGATTAGAGATCCGATCCATTGCTAGACGCCCCATAGTGGGTGTGCTTCTTCGATGAGCCTTTGCAACGACTAACTGGGTATTTACGGGCGTTGAGCTCCAGCTTCCTCAGCACGGCCTCGCCAAGGTCGACGCCGCAGATGTCGGAGAGCCTCACCAGATACAGAAGAACATCGGAGAGCTCTTCGCCGAGATGCTCCTTCTCTTTCTCATCCCAATCGGGGAGCCCTTTCGGGACTTCCCCTTTCCATTGAAATATCTCAGACAGCTCTCCTACTTCTCCCACCTTCAAGCAAAAAACAAAGGGAACAACAACAACAACAAATGGGATGACTTCATTATGGACCCCTTCTTTGTAGAGAAATGAAAATAACAACAACAATAAAAAAAAAAACACATTGATGGGCGTGTAAAATAAATGTCAAAGCGTTCAAACTCCTGTCAAGAGTAAACCCAACACAGGTCATTCATTGATTACAAAAACCAAAACCGACAAGAAATGAAAAAAAAAAGCACGGTAGAAGGGAACAAAATCAGAAGGAATGACTTCGCTAATTCACTGCTCTTTTTGTTTTTTCTTTTTTTTTCTTTTTTTTTTCCTACTACAGAGGCAAGTAGTATATATTCTCCTCTTATAGGTCCATTAATTATTTGGTTGAACGCAGCCAAATCCATCTTTTTCCTACCCGAAACATGCAAGACAAAGAGGAAAGAAGCAAATATTGTGTGCGCTAGCTCAATGATAGCAGATGGTAAACATAATCAAAAATGAAATCTTTTGGCGAAACTGACCCATTTATTTGTGAAAAAAAATAATAATTGGACACTATGTCATAAACCCATTAATGGGTACACAACAGCATAAAACAAGAACAGTTGAATATAAGAAGCAATTAAAACAAGGAAATATTTGGGGGGTGGGTTTCATTGCGGTACCAGAGCTAGGAGGAGATTTCTCGGGCTGTGGAACTGATCCCAATCTCTCTCCCTCGCAAACTCAGCCATCCTCGACCTGAGATCATCGAGTGCCACCCTACCCTCTCCGTTCTCCTCCATGGCTCCTCCTCCCTCGACTCCGACAGCGACGGCGTCCCCTTTCATCTCCCTCAGCTTTAAAAGGGCGACACAGAACGAGAACCCAGAAAACAAAAACGAAAAAAAAAAATAGACTTAAAAAGGGGAAAGGGGTTGAAGACGGAAGGGATCGATGAAGAAAAAGAGAGGAGGGGCTGCTTTTTATTAGTAGGGTTTCTTCGGTGATCCATTATGAGGACCGGTTTTTAAAGAGCCCTCGTAATCAAATCTCGGCCTTTGAACCTCGGGACCACGCGAAGAAGTTTTTCTTTTTCTTTTTCTTTATTTTGGTTTTTTTGTTAAAGCTTTTTTGCGGGTTAAATCACTTTAACCCTTGTATAGATTTTTTGTGTTTGCGGGTTAAGAAAGGGTTAAGTCTCCTTAACCCCTCACTTAACCCTTTGCCAAACGGTACCGTAGAGTATAACGCGTGCTTTGCTTTTGGGCTCCGTTTGCTATCCAATGGCGGTATTATGCGAGGAAAGATTTGTATTGCTTGATGCACTAATTACTCACAGATTTAGGGGTACAAAACCATAAATGTATCCACGGAGATATTTATAATCGTATCCGGATATAACCGTTGAAATCTACGACCGCTAAGATATGGTTATGTGATAACGTATTCGGATCTGTACATGAAAATGTCTGAGGATATATTGATGCAATTGTTTCAATTCATAAGAGTAACAAACTTAAAATCAATTTTAATAATCAAGAGATTCAATCTTCACTTTCTTTGATCATATGGGCTTTACAT